CGCCCGCCTCGGCCTCCCAGAGAGCTAGGATTACAGGCGTGAGCCACCGCGCCCGGCCTGACCTGTTTTTATGTTCCTGCAGAATCGTCACCTTGTGACAAGATGACCCTCTTCTTTTGGGGGGCATTAATATTCTTAATGTTGGAAATAGTTTTATATTGCCAAGACCATAATGGGAGGGTGCAGCTGCATAAATCCCTCAGGGAGGAGATAAGCAGACTAGCACCTAATGGAAGGATAAGGCTGAGCTCAAGGGTAGTCAAATAGCTGCTTGGCAAAGCAGCAGCTCATGGAAGTGTGGCTCAGATCGCTTAGGACACCAAGTGAGAGCTCACACAGGGCAAACAACCTGGGGCTGACATGCTCCAGTTGGCTGCACTTATCTGGGAATTGAGCAGTAGAGGACAGGAAGCAGGGACTCTCAGGAGGGAAGGGGCCCAAGAAACTCTTGGAGGGTCATTCATTCATGCACTTGTTCATTCAGCAAACATGCACTGACACCTTCCGTGTGCCGGCCATGCTGAGTCTAAGGGATGTGCAAGACTCTGCAGCTCCCTGCCCTCAAGTTGCTCAGAGACCCCCTTGCCAGGGGTGAAGTGCTACAAGAAAAGGAGGAATGGAAAAGTCACTAGTTCTGTCTGAGGATCAGGAAAGAGTTCCTGGAAGAACTGGAAGTTAGTAGAGGTCTTAGGGGATGGGGGAGGGAGCTAGCCTGGCAAGTTATGGTTGAGGTGAGGAAAGTCTTCTCAGGAGGAACAGCATAGGCACATTTCTGGAGGTGAAATGTGGAGTGTCCCCCACTTCAAGTTTACTGCGGGTGGGGGGTGATGAAGCAACAGCAAGGGAGTTGCTAGAGGTGAAGCTGGTGAAGTCAGCGACTGACTAAAGGAAACCCTGAGGAACCCAAATGCTAAGCTAAGGAGCTTAAGATTTTATTATTCTGGGAATGACAGACATTAGCATGCTTAAGGAGGGGAATGATGGGACCAGATCTGTGTTTCAGAATTATCATCCCAGGATGAGAAGACAGG